GACATACAGGGCGCGATATTATAGAATGCGGTTACAGATAAGCGGTTACACACGTTACACATAATTAGCTAACCAACGCCGCGAATCACGGAAGTAATTGACTCAGTATCAACACACGATCTAGCAGTTACAACTTCTAGACAAGTCAACTTCGATAACGGACCGGGTTATCAGGTAACGGTTTATTTTACTATTTTAAATACACAGAGCATATGAGAAAAAAGGTACGTTTTTCCCTAAGAGAAAGTTAATTGAGATTTTCTTATTCGAACAACACCCCTGTTGACTTGAGCGTCGGAGTGCCTTTGCAGGTACCCAGCCCACTTTGCTCAGAGAATCAGAGAAGAGATGGAGAAATACAACACAGTGAAAGTAGCACAGAGGAGAAGCAGAACAGAGTTGTTAGGTTTGTATCTTGGTCTCCACACCCTTACTGAAACATTTTGGCGCCCACCGTGGGGCCCGAGATTACTATCCCAACAACGACCACCGGAGCAATGGAAAATTCCGACACGCACGATTTAATCAGGCAACTGCAAGCGCAAATTGAGGCACAGGCACAAACCATGCAGGAGATTCAGCGTAAACATGCAGAGGAGATGGCGGTGCTGCGAGCACAGATTCCAACACCAGAGTTATCTGCTTCAAACAGGCAGGGGGATAACGACGCAAGCCATCATGGGGGAACCTCCGATCGGGCTGGCGGAGGAAGGAGGGGGCCTACTCCTATGCGCCTCACTAACCTGCTTCCATTCACTGATGTCATCATGCAAGTTATTATGCCTGACAAGCCTCCTCCAACTCTGGAACGCTACAATGGCTCTGAAGATCCTGATGACCATCTACGTAATTTTATAGATGCCATGGCATTCTATACTGACAGCGATCCGGTGATATGCAGAGCTTTTTCTTTATCTCTTAAGGGTGAAGCTCTGGAATGGTTTCATAAACTTCCTCGGAATTCCGTGGATTGTTTCGCAACCATCGAATCCTTATTCCGAAAGCAGTACGCAGCCAGCAAAAAACCGACGATGACTGCTACTGAGCTTGTCCATACCAGGCAGGAGAAGGATGAGACCTTGAAAGCTTTTATGCAGTGATACATCGAGACAGCCCGGCGGGTGCCAGATATAACTCCTACTTTCATCATCAGCAATCTGTCGTCCTGCTTAAGGCCGGGGCAGTTTTCAGAACAATTGTATGCTGACCCTCCAGCATCCATGGAAGAATTGCAATCCACTGTGGCAAAATTCATCCGCATTGAAGACCACCGTAATGCCAGAAAGAAGCACCACCAAGATGTCCCCAACCAGGAGACAAGAAAACCAACGAAACGACCCCCCAACGCCCTATCTGATGATGGAAGACTTTATCCATGAGGCGTTGATAAGTGGCCCCGGCATTTTTCAATCCAAACGGCATTACTTCATAGTAGTAATTAGCGCGTTCGGTGATGAAAGCTGTCTTACTTTGATCGGGGTGATACATGGGGATTTGGTTGTACCCCGAGTAAGCGTCTAGAAAACTTAATATGACATGACCCGAAGCTCCATCCACGAGGCGATCGATGCTGGGCAGGGGATACGAGTCTTTGGGGCACGCCTTGTTGAGATCAGTAAAGTCGACACATATCCGCCACTGACCGTTCGACTTTTTGACCATAACTACGTTCGACAGCCACGTAGTGTATGTTAACTCCCTGATGAATCGGGCGTTCATCAACTTCTCGACCTCAGCTTGAATGGCTTGACGCTTTTCTTCTCCGAACCTTCGCTTCTTCTGGGCGACTGGTCGTGCCTCCCGGAAGATCGACAATTTGTGAGCCATAACTCCTGGATGGATTCCTGGCATGTCAGCGGCTGTCCACGCAAACAGATCTGCATTGTTTCGCAGTATACGATTTAGGGCCTGCTCCTCGTTCAGTGCGAGGTCCCCGCCCATGCTGGTGGTTCTAGACGCTTCATTCGTCAGGGATAGGAGTTTGACTTCGCCTTGCGGATGAAGACGTTCGTCCACATTGGTTCGGGGGTCTAAGTCGACTGTCGCTGTCTCGACTCCTTTTTCCCTTTTTGTTGGAATAAAGGGGGTGACTTTTAGCCCGGCGACATAACACTGTCGGGCTGTTCGCTGATCGGCTCTCACGGTACAAATAGTACCATGATCTGTCGGGAACTTCATGGCGAGGTGGGGAGTAGATACGATTGCTCCGAACGCATTCAGGCAAGGTCGTCCTAACAGAGCATTGTATGACGTGTTCGCCTCGACCAAGAGAAATCGGACCCGAAGCTCCGGTGCTTCTCGACTTGTTCCGAGCCGAGTCCGTAGGTCAAGGTATCCCCTGGTGTCTACTCTTTCCCCTGAGAATCCAACAATCTGCTCGTTAAACGGGGCGATGAGATCCTCGGATAGGTCCATTTTCTGAAAGGTGGACCAATACAAGATATTGACTGAACTTCCTTGGTCGACGAGGACCTTGCTGACATCATAACGAGCTATGTTAGCCGTGATGACCATAGGATCGTCATGATCAGGGTCGGGCGCGTGGAAGTCTGCGTTCGTGAACGTAATGTCGGGGATTGACCGACATTGGCGCTCGACCATATGAACCGACTTCAGCTGTCTCAAGTGTCGCTTCCTTGCTGAAGCGGACACGCCCCCCCCAGCGAAACCACCAGATATGGTGTCGATGCGGCCTCGAACTGAGCGTTCTCTCTCCATGCGGCGAGGTATCGCCTGCGGTGTCGATCATCTCTAGGGGGTGATCGTTGGGGACTTCGCCTAGGAGGATCTCTTCGGCGAGGGGTTGTGGCTCTAGTAGAGACTCTATCCTTGATATAATTCTGAAGATAGCCTGCCTGAATGAGTCGTTCCAACTCGTCTTTTACCATGTTGCACTCTTCCGTGTCGTGCCCATGGTTCATGTGGAACCGGCAGGTTTTGCTGTTACCCGCGTTCTTTGGGGTGGCCTTTCGCCGCACGGTGAGAAGTTCGGCGTGTAAGGCCTCTTCCAGTACCCTCGCCCTGGGTTCGTTGAGGGCCGTGTAACGATCATATTTAGATGTCCACCCCGACTCCTTCCGAGGTGCTCGGTCTGTCCTGTAGTCGTTGGGGGGTCGTTTCGTTGGTTTTCTGGTCTCCTGGTTGGGGACATCTTGGTGGTGCTTCTTTCTGCCATTACGGTGGTCTTCAATGCGGATGAATTTTGCCACAGTGGATTGCAATTCTTCCATAGATGCTGGAGGGTCAGCATATAATTGTTCTGAAAACTGCCCCGGCTTTAAGCAGGACGACAGATTGCTGATGATGAAAGTAGGAGTTATATCTGGTACCCGCCGGGCTGTCTCGATGTACCGCTGCATAAAAGCTTTCAAGGTCTCATCCTTCTCCTGCCTGGTATGGACAAGCTCAGTAGCAGTCATCGCCGGTTTTTTATTGGCTGCGTACTGTTTTCGGAATAAGGATTTGATGGTTGCGAAGCAATCTACGGAATTTCGTGGAAGTTTATGGAACCATTCCAGAGCTTCACCCTTAAGGGATAAAGAGAAAGCTCTGCATATCACCGGATCGCTGTCAGTATAGAATGCCATGGCATCTATAAAATTGCGTAGATGGTCATCAGGATCTTCAGAGCCATTGTAGCGTTCCAGAGTTGGGGGAGGCTTGTCCGGCATGTTCTCTTGCATGATGGCTTTTGTGAATGGAAGCAGGTTAGTGAGGCGCATAGGAGTAGGCCCCCTCCTTCCTCCGCCGGCCCGTTCGGAGGCTCCCCCATGATGGCTTGCATCATTATCCTCCTGTCTGTTTGAAGCAGATAACTCTGGTGGTGGAATCTGTGCTCTTAGCGCCGCCATCTCCTCCGCGTGTTTACGTTGAATTTCCTGCATGGTTTGTGCCTGAGCTTCAATTTGTGCTTGCAGTTGCCTGATCAGATCGTGCGTATCGGAATTTTCCATTGCTCCGGTGGTCGTTGCTGGGATAGTAATCTCGGGCCCCACGGTGGGCGCCAAAATGTTTCAGTAGGGATGTAGGGACCAAGATACGAACCAAATAACTCTGCACTGCTTCTTGTCGATGTTGCTTTCACTATGTTGTATTTCTCTCTCTCTTCTCTGATTCTCGTGAGCAAAGTGGGCTGGGTACCTGCAAAGGCACTCCGACGCTCAAGTCAACAGGGGTGTTGTTCGAATAAGAAAAATCTCAATCAATTTTCTTTTAGGGGAAAAAACGTACCTTTTTTCTGGTGCGCTTTGTATATTTAAATCAGCATAATAAACCGTTTACCTGAAAATCCGGTCAGTTACTGAAGTTGACTGTTTAGAAGTTGTAACCGTCAAATCGTGTGCTGACACCGAGTCAATTACTTCCATGATATATGGCCGTGATTCGCGGCGTTGTTTAGTCAAGGTGTGTAACTGCTTAACCGCTAGATCACGATGTCGCACCCTGTATGTCGATCATCATCCGTGCCGAACTAAGTGGACGACGTGTCGCACGTATGCCTCATGTCGCGACATTACTTATGCGGCTGTCGAGCCTCAAATGGTCGAGAGCGCCACGTGGTCGTATGTTATTATGGTCGGTTATCAAGTGGTCGACCACGCTATGTGGTCGAACGTCATTACGATAACCTTCAGTGGTTTAACTGTTGTCGGGTTATTGGTTGACCAATGGAGGATTAGGTATCCTATAGTACAGTAAGTTTTTTTATATCTATAGTATAATATAATGTTTCTACAAATAGCATTTTCCAAATCTTATATTGCAGCACATCAGTAACTGAACCCACCGTCACCACACCACAGCAACAAACGTAGACAGTGACTGACCAATCCCTGGTACGATTACAAATCCATTTGGGGACAATTTGATTTGGGTAAGCATGTTGATGATTTTTGTTTTTGCAGCTTACGATGTGTTTCAGTGCTGGAAAATTGAACCAACAAGACCATATATTTCCGTTAAATGTTTGTAAGAAAATGTGTCTTACATCCGTTTCTATAATTTGATGAACCTCACATCTATAAATGTAATGTGGTTTTCTGACGGTGGTGGCTGTAGCTGTTTCTTTTTCCTATTTCTGTTAACTTTTCCGGCACTCTTCATTTTTCCGGTGAGAATTTGCCTAAAATTGATTTTTTCTTCTTCATATTTTTTTCCCTGCCATCTTTACGGTTTTGTATCACCAAATCATCCGTTTTTACGAGTTGGTCGAGTTGAAGTGCGAGGTCCCCTAAATTAGAAAAAGCATCTGCATTCTGCACCAACGTGTTATTCTTAAAAATGCGAAAACACACCCTATTTCCTCAGAATTTTCCGCACAAGTGGGAGCGTTTTGTGTGGGAATTGAGTAAGTTGTTAAATACATGGGAAGGGGGAGTTTTTTTTCACTCTTTTAAGTTATTATGTATACCTACATTTCTTTTTTGCAATATTGGACCGGCCATGATGTACAATTCATTATTTCTTGTACTGAATTTCATAAAACTGTTCTGACACTTACAATCTCCTGAGCTAATGAGACATAAACCTATATAGGTCAATGGCTTTAGCTTTGGCCTCAAAAACAAAAAGGTTTAATCATTCATTAAGTCTCTATTTTCGCATGAAATCTTAATTTCGTCCCTTTCTTTTTGAAAATATTAATTGGGTCCCAATTTTATGAAAATTGGGACAAATAGATCCTTTCCGTTAAATAGTGTCAAACGGCGTTACGGTATGTTTGACGTGGCACGCTTTCGTGGACTTTATCTGACGTGGTTGATTAGCAGTGGGACACGTGGAAAGCTGTTGTGGACTTGTTAGCAGAAAGATCAGGGGTTCTGCCAGCCTTCTCTTCATTCTTCCATCTCCCACAAACACAATCAAATCTCCCCTGCCAGACCAGTCACCTCCTCCTCCGTCGGAGCCACCACCGGCCACGGCGTCACTACCCTTTCTCCCTCTTCTTGCTTCAAAAATGGTAACCCAGGGAGGGGTTTGTTTCCGCCAGTTTATGTTCACGGCCGCCGCCCCCATCGAAGCCTCCCTCCTTTGCAGATGACGGAGATATGGTACAGTGAAATACAGACAGTATTAGAATGAGTGAAGTTAAAATACTAACAAAATAATTAGCAAAGATTCTAAAAAGTTAAAAATCCTCGTCCATCTTGAATACATGTGCCCCTCCATCAATTTTGAAAGGAGAAAGTGAAAAAGAAAAATACAGAAATTCATGTGAAATGTTTATAAGTGTGAAGTATCTCTCTTCATTTATGACTAATGTTTATTTCTGAAGATAACTACTTTTCAGAAAACCTTATTTCAGAAAATTTGCCGTTATATGTTTTGCAGGCACAATGAACTACAAATACATTATCCAAAACTCTTTTTCCAATTTAATAAGAAAAATGTTATTAAAAGGTAAGTAAATACAGAGAAAAATAGTTATTTGAAGAGTGTGATTGAGAAGGGTGTTTGTCACGAGAAGGAAAGGAAAAGCAGACCCGTGAAGTATGGTCCCATCACCACTTGTCTCTTTCACTTTTCTGCCTTAAAATAATCAATGCTAGGGTTTCGTCGAGCTCTCTCCACCACTATTGGGTGGTCGCCACTGTGGAGCTTGCCGCCGGCGTTGCCTAGGGCCAATGGAGCTTGCCGCCGGCGTCTTCCCTCCGACTTGGGGGATGTCGATGTGCCTTCCACCTTGGAAGTCTGAAGTTAGGATGATGATACAGATAATGAGGATGAAGGAGGAAGAAAATGATAATACAGATAATGACGAGTTGGATGAAGGAGGAAGAAAATGATAATACAGATAATGACGAGTTGGATGAAGGAGGAAGAAAATGATAAAGAAAAGAAAGAAAAAGAGGAAGAGGAAAACGAAAGATTCTTCAGTCATCCACGTCAGCGTGCCACGTCACACACTGTAAACACCGTTTAACACTATTTAACGGAAAGGATCTATTTAAAATTGGGACCCAATTGATATTTTCAAAAAGAAAGGGACGAAATTGAGATTCTATGCGAAAATAGGGACTTAATTAATGATTAAACCAAACAAAAATTATTCACCATTGTTTTGACAAGAGAAAAGAATGGCCTATCCCGCTATCTTTCAGAAGTTATGAATCTAATCTTCAAGAGGTGGATCTCGTTAGCTTCAAATTGTAGTTTTGCAAGCAATGCACCTTGATGAGCCTAATGATCTATTTCTCTGTTTTGCAAAAAAATTGTCTAGATAAGGTACTGGAATGTGAGATGTGATTTATCATCTAATCTTCAAACAATAAAAATTATCTTTGCTGCCAATAACAATCAATCTATAAAAATGTGTTTACTGCGACTAATCATTCAGTATTCACAAATTCATGGGTGGAATTATGTGTGCTTGTTTGATTCTTGAATGACTTAATATATGTTTATTCTTTCATAATCAGTTTACAAATTTGTGTTATTGTAACGTTTGAACATCGATTAATAGCTCGCAGGTAGTGTTGTCGTGAATTGTTGGCTGAGCGAGCTCCTTTGCAATCATGAGTTTTGTCTTCCGAGGGAGTAGGGGAGATATTGAAAGTGGATTTTCAGAATATGTTCCTGAAAGAACCTTGATGGTACGTTTGATGTGTGTGAATGTCAGTCTGTGTGCCAGTTTTCGCCTGCTAAACTCAAATTGTACATAATTGGACTGTAATTCTCATTCTCTTTTCCTACTTCTTCCTATCAGAGGGTTCATCCAGCTCGCCCAGTTAATGGCAATTCTTTAGCTTTTCTTATCACAGGTGATGTCTTCTCAGCTGTATATAATGCTTTACTTCTTCATAAAGCACATTCTTAATCTGTATCTGACATGCTTATTCGCCAGTTATTTTGATATTCATGATATTGAACTCCCCTCAAATGCTACATCATTTTTTGGTAAGTAATCACTTAAAAAAATGATAAATTTGATGTACTCACTGCCGTGCAAGTTACTTATCTGCATTGAAGTAAGAAATTAATTCTTGGCACATAACATTTCAGCTCTGGGTTGTACTGGCTATCTTTGTGATGGCTACAAGTCTGAGGATGTATGCAACTTGTCAACAACTTCAGGCACAGGCTAGGGCTCATGCTGCAGCAGCCTCTGGGTTGCTTGGCCATACTGAACTCCGTCTTCACATGCCACCATCGATTGCAATTGCAACCAGAGGAAGATTGCAGGGACTTAGACTTCAGCTTGCACTTCTTGACCGTGAATTTGATGAGCTAGGTATTATGTTTATGAGTTGTACCTTTGAATGTGTATTTTAATATCTTTTCTTAGTTGAAAGGCCCCAAGATGGATGCTGAAAGCAGATGAAAGCTTATATTGCTGTGTTTTGTTAAATTCTTTTCTTGATTTTGTTGCAGATTATGATACTTTGAGAGCTCTTGACACTGATACTGCTCCTAGTACCCATTCAATGACTGAGGAAGAGATAAATGCCTTGCCTATTCACACATATAAAATTCCAGTCCCACCAAAGTGAGTTGTAATGGTTTCTTAAAAAATAAATAAATTGATAGTGATAATGAATCCGAAGAAAGGCTAGCTGCATAAGCTTGCATTTTTCCTTTCCTGAAGCTCACTGTTTGGAGGGTCAGTGCACCCTATTTTAACTATTCTGTAGAAGGCAATGACTTCTGATAAGGATGGTTGAATTTAAAGTCCACACTCCTTAGTATTTTGGTATAGAAAACCATTGAATATGGAGCATAAATCATGCTCCATGGAGAAATTGGCATGCTTCAGTGAAGCTGTTAAGGTTAGCTTTGCTAGAGGTGTACGGAGACCAGCAGTTGTGACTCTAATTAAAAAACCAAATAGTTGTTTGTTGCTAATAGTCATCCTACATTTGTGGTAAAATAGATGTCATCTACAAGACTCATAATCACTGGTAGTAGAATGAGGATCTTGAAGGGATTATTTTCACTCATTGCGTACTCGATGACCATTTGTGAAAAGAGGCTGTGCTGTTGCATCATTTCTTAGGAATCGTTAGTTAAAATTATAGAGAAAAATACATTTGGTAGTCTTTTTTTTTATTTATTTATGTATTTTAGGATTCTCAAGTCAGTTTAACTGGTTATAAGACTATTTTCCTCCTTTGCGTGCATTTGCATTTATGAAAGTTCTAAACCATAATAAATAATCTGATACAAGTTGTTCTGTTAACAGGGATGGCTCAGCCGGTCTTGCATCCTCTTCAGGTGCAGCTGAGGTAAACATATGTTAACTGTCTCTGCCTTTGGTTTGTTTACCTTTTCTAGCCTAGGTTGTCAGGTCATTGTATTTTAGGGTTACAATGGTGTGAATGTGTTGCCTGGTTTTACTCATTGTTGTTAGTTTTGTATACTACTGGTGGTCTATATTGCTGTTAATGCCTCTCATAAGTACTTTAGACAATGCCCCAAGATATAGATAGCAAACTATTCGATAATTGGCCCTAGATGTTCTATTCATTCTTCATGGTATGCTTTTGAAGAAAAGATNGTTAAAATTTAAAGTGACTTTTCAAAGTGCCTAGCAACCTTTCAAGGCATTGAACCAAAAAATTAAGGTGACCTTTCAAGGTATTGAACCAAAAAATTAAGGTGACATTTCAAGGTACTTAATGACTTTTCAAGGCATTAAACCCAAAAATTAAGGTGACCTTTCAAGGTGCCTAGTCACCTTTTCAAAGCACTAAACCAAAAAATTAAGGTCACCTTTTAATGCACTAAATCCAAAAATTAAGGTGCCCTTTCGAGGCACCTAGTGACCCATAAAGGCAATAAAAAAATGGCGTCCAAGAAGAAATGACAACCTTTCAAAGAGCCTAAAAAAGATAAAAGGCAACTTGTTAAGGTGCCCATAAAGAAAATAAGGTGACATGTGACAATTTTCACTACTAAACAAAGGTAAAAGGAAGCCAATGATAGTAAAAGGAGAAAGATGATCAGGTATCACTCTAAATGATGATTAAGAAAAATATAGTCGGTTAAATGATGATCAAGCATCATTTGCACGGTAAAATATCATTCTAAAAAAGAAAGATGTTCAAGAATCACCCAATCGGTAAGATGATGATCAAGTATCATCCGATCAAGGTATCATCCATCAAGTATCATCTAATCAAATTGAGATGATAATGTATCGTTTGATTAAACTACAATTAAGGTAATTGCATATCATTTGGTCAAACAACATTAGTGTGAATTTAAAAGGCACCTTGGAAAAGTTTTCCTTTAGAAATATTAAGGTAAGGTAAGTTTTCAATATCTCATTATAATTTAATGTCGACCAAGGTGTCTATTAAAAAAAGGCAATGGTAACATTTACACAAAATAGATACTTGGTCATCGGAAAGTAAGCGCTAAGGAAGTAAAATAAAATCTAATTATAGTGTTAGACCCAATACTAAAGAGTGAGAAATGTTAGACGTGGAGAAGACATAAAAAAGACTTTATAATATAAGGAAGAAATCGAAAATATGGGGATCACTATTGAATGCTTTTGGCTAATTAGTCTTAGTACTTTTTGACAAAAACAAATATAAATATCGTATAGGTGTGATGTTAAATACTTTTATTTAGCCTTAAGCTTTATAAAATCGAAGGTTGGGGGGATATTTAGTGGTTAGGCCCAAGATCGAGGTATTAGGTTAAAACTAGATTGACCTTGAGCCTAACCACTAATTGGCTTTGGATAGTTAAAAATTAGATCGGTCTTGTGCCTAACACTATAGAAATGAAAGAAAATAAAGATGAGATGATTCGTTATTCTTATTTATAATTGTAATTAGGAGATGAAGAGAAATCATGAGATAGACAATTGCAAAAACACATGTATAAAAGGTTTAAGATAGGAAAAAGAAAGTTTTACCTTCTTAAATATGTAGATGATACAATATTTCTTGAAAAAGTATCCATGAATAATGATTAGAAGTATTTCTCAAATGATGATAAACTCGAGTTACTAACAAATTTTGTTATTATAAACAGTTTGTATTCGTCGATAATACACAATGTTTTTAGTGAATTTCTCGTATTTATTAAGTGGCAACAATATCATTGTCTAAACTTAATATCAAAATACTCTTCTCTTGTTTTGTTCTCATAAGTTGTTATCAAAACTTCAACTTTTGATATTCAATAATTTTTTTAATTTTTTATTTAAATTATTTTGGAGTTATGAGAAATACTTATGCTAAAATTATTCCTCAACTAAATGAATATAAAAAGTTATTTATTCATGATTTCATTACTAAATTGAATAAAAATTAAAAATAATTTTGAAAAAATAACAATAAAAGAAAGAGCATAGATATACAAATAAAGATAGAATGTTTCATGGGTATTGGAAAACACACGTTGTAGAAAAAATAAAATCAAAGGAGAAAATAAATTAAAGAGGAGTTAAAAGAAAAAAAAAACTTAAAGATAATTAAGAGAAAAAAAATAAGTATATTTGAGAAAAGGAAATAAAAAAATATGTGGAAAGAAAAAGAAATTCAAGAAAAAATATATTAAACAAAAGAGAAAATGAGAAACAAACAAAAATGAAGTGACTAAAATAGAGAAAGAAAAAAAATCTAACATTTGAATTTAGTAGATTTACACTACTAACTCAAACTATTACAAAATAGATATAAAAAAATAGATCATCACATAAACATATATATAATATGTATTTCCATATCGTCATAAATATCATCTTTAATAATATATAAAGTTTCATGAATCTCAATGATACATCATATTTAATAATATATATAAAATTTTTCAACAAGGAAAGATTTATAAAATACAAAACTATATACTTATGCATCATTTATACCCGCATCAAGCAATCTCACTACTTATCAACCCTGCTACTTGCATTATCTTCTATTCACGTATAACATACAATCACTGCAGGTGGATAAACCATAACCAAACACAGAAAAACATGATAAGCTTAAAAAGAAAAAGACTCATAAATAGTTTAAAATGATTAGAACAAACAATCACTTGCAACCACTAACTTCATTTAATCATACACATAATATAAGGAAACCATGATAACTACCTTCGAAGGATTTTGTGTATTGAATCGGGTCCAGAGTGTTTGCACCTACCATTAGTCTCACCTATAGTCTTTCTAGAAAAGATCAACAATCCCTATTTGTGCTATAGAAACCTCCATCGACTCTAACTAACTAGATATCTTACTCTATGTGAGTTGAGATACTAAGTAAAGTCTGGATAATTTCCTTTCAAGCCCCTAATCAATACACCTAACACAAGATTGGAATGGTTTCTCCAATGAAAGTCATTCTACACTCATCATATTATAATTTCATATTATCTCATTCAATAGTTAAGCATCTCTATCATTCATATACACATATATATATATATATATATATATATATATATATATGTATATGTATATATGTATATTATTCTGTATTGGCGTATATAATGAGCTTGACATGTGTATATGATTGTATTCTAGTTCATGTTTACTTATCCCGATAATTCTTACCGAGACATGTGTATCTCTTGATATATAAATAAGCATTAAAATGTTATAATGTGGGAAGTGCATGTGATACATCTTATCTTTTATACTTAAGTTAAGACATCGCCATCCCTAAGAATGGTCTCTGATAAATTTGCAGGTTTAGCTGTTTGTGTTAGCAATTCCTAGATCTAACTAATTATGTACAACACATAACTGGATTTAAATTTTATTCATTTATGTGATGTTTGCTGTTGACTTCACTAATACATGTTAGGTTATGTAACCACTTTTGACTTGACAAGTTAAATAAGGTTTTAATTAATTACATACAAGAGCCCACTTATCCATTGTGATTAGTTGGGCTGTATATATAATGTGTAAAATACCTTTTCTCTCCAAAGTTTGGAAAGTGTTTTTTCAGTTGTCTTTGTTGCGCCTTCAAAACATGGAAAGGGTCTTTTACCTGGCCTAAGCCAACCCTAGTTTCTATCAAAAGTTATTTTTTCTTTTATAGTGACAGTAACAACCACCAGCAGCTATTCATGCAGACCTCCATATCCAATCCTACCATGTGAATTCATGAGTACAGTTTATTGATCCTGTGAATCAATCAAAAAGGTAAAGCATATTTAATGCTAGTATTACTATGACAAGTAGGATTTCTTTTCAAGAGATGGATATTTTTTCATGTCAGTTTTATTTAGGTGACGGATATGCATTACACTGTATTCATTCCTGAAAAAGAATTAGTCAACAAAAGCTATAAAAGGCGAAAATAAATTGGATGCCCACAATGGAGAGGATACACAGTTGATTGATTTGCTATGTCAGTCAAATTTTAAAACCAGGGAATTGTTATATCGCTGCTAATTGATTGTTGTACTTAGACCAAACCTTTTTATTACAGGCTATTCTGCAGTTATTAAACTGATATAAATTATTGTGTATGTATACATTATATAGTTCTAGGATATAACTACATTTGTCAGTGTAACATCCCAAAATTATACAGTCATCAACTATATACTTAGAATAATCACATGTATTAATATGGCAAAACAGTTTTAACATAAAAGGGGATAAAGTGTGCGAATTGCCGAACGGCCTTACATATATACTATAATTCAACGAGCGTTCACAAAATAACTGAGGACGAACGGTTTACAAAATTATTACCGAACGTCCAAGTATTTACACAATCAAAAGGAGCGCTCGCTCACAACCGCCCGCTCTCCTAACTACACTAACTAAATAACCGAACGCCTTTACTGTTCGGCCTTCACCTCAACCTCTACAAGATTCTCCTCAGCTATGATTTCCTCTTCAAGCGTTTGCTCCAGTGAAACATCTCCCTCTGCTCACATCCACACGGATGATCATTGCAAGGACAAGACGGATATACATATACAGACAACACAATGGAAAATGCAAGGGTAAGCTTATTGAATTTAATTCAAGTCAAACATATATTTCATACTTATCAAATTCAGCAAGTAAATTCACAACATATACATTCAATTCATACATTAATTCCATCCAAATCCTAATACTAGACCGACCGTCCGGACTGTATGAATCCTGTGTAGTTAAGGCGTCCGTGCACCCAGGTGGGGTAACTGGAATGCTCATCAGTAGCCACCTTAGGTTAGTCTGTTCTGTCCAAGTTACAGTTATGGACTAGACCTCCTGCCATTCCCACGCATGACATACTCCTCTCTACTTGAGAACGAGCATTCACGGAATATCAGGATGAACCACCATCTAAGCTTACCACGTTCATACTTACAAATCTCAATTTCCATTCAAGAGTCGTTCCTCCCTGGAACACTCGTTCAAAAACCACAATCACAATTTCAGTTCTCATAGTGTTCGCACATCTTAATTCTTCCTCTTAAATACATTTTCATTCTATGTTCCACTTTCTTAAAAGAACGAACGTCCAACCCTCTTTGTAATAGACGACGAACGTTAATACATTACCAAGAAAGGCTCG